TCAGAAGAGGGACTTAAACTGTCCCCTTCTCCCCACCGACAGACAGGTCAGTAAGCAGCAGGCCAGTAAACCCTCCCTCGTGTCCAAAGCCAGGCATGGCCGCACGTTCATTTACTGGCTTACTTGCAAAGGGGCGAGCCCGGGTGCCACGGTGCCCAGCTGGCAGGGGCTTCCTGCATGGCTGGCGTGGGCTGGGGCACGTCTGGTCTTCAAAGCAAGCTCAGCGGCAGTGTGGTGGGTCGGGGTCCCCGGCTGATCTCCATCCCTTCGGCCTCCAGCAACGGGTCCCACGAGACCTTTGAAGCCTACTACAGTGGGACGTCCTCGCCCTCCTTCCGGCAGTCGCATCACAGCCTGGCCACGGCTTGCAGCGGGAGCGACCAGAGCAGCGTGGGGCTGGAGCAGCTGCAGGACTACATGATCACGGTAGGGATCGCGGCGCTCCCCGACTGCCCCGGAGCCTGGGCAAGGCCAGGGCCCTTCTCCGGGGATGCCTCCAACCCTGCCGGTGTCTCTGCCCTGCAGCTGCGGAACAAGCTGTCTCCCCCGGAGATCCAGCAGTTCGCGCTGCTGCTGCGGGAGTATCGCCTGGGCATGGCCGTGCAGGAGTACTGCGCCGACCTCCTGCAGCTCTACGGGGACAAGCGCAAGTTCCTGCTCCTGGGTGAGTGTCCAGGCACCCTTGGGGGCTCTCGGATGGAGCTGGGTCTGTGCCCTTCCCCCTGGCCGGACCGGGCTTCCTGGACCCCTGCAGCGTGGAGCTCCCCCCAGGCCCAGCCCATGCCTGACAGCTCCCCGCGTGCCCAGGCATGCGGCCCTTCATCCCTGACCAGGACATCGGCTACTTCGAGGGCTTCCTGGAGAGCATCGGCATCCGGGACGGGGGCATCCTGACCGACAGCTTTGGGCGCATCAAGCGCAGCATGAGCAACACGTCGGCCTCGGCCGTGCGCAGCTACGACAGCTGGTCCCTGCGCTCCGAGGCCGAGTCTTTCAACCGCCGCATCACAGACATCACGCACGACATCGAGGCCCTGGCACGCGACCAGGGCGATGGCGAGGACGAGGACGGGGATGAGGATGAGGATGAGGATGAGGAGGACAACTACCTATGAAGGGGGACCCTGCCCCTGCCTGCTTATGGGAGGCTGAACCCCCGAGCATCCCAGGTGGCACCGGCCTGCACCCCCCTTCCGCCTGAGGCTGCCCAGGCCTTTAACCTCGCAGCTCCTGTGATGCTGCCTGCTCTCTCCCTTGCACTGTCTGCCATCAAGGACAAGGACAGGGAGCCGTAGCCCTTCCCTGACGCGGCAGGAGCCCGTGAGGATCTCAGGTTGGGAGGGAGGAAGGGGCCGGCTGGAGCTGCCACTCTTGTTCCAGGGGCCGTGGGGGGAGGCTGCAGGAGGGGGCAGCTGCTCTGTGCAGGCAGGCGGCTCTTGTTAGCGCTAATTGGATTCCCTCGCACCCCCCCTTGAGGGGAGCCCAGAGCCCCTGGGGTGGCACTGACATGTGTGACCATTGATGCTGCATGCAATTAAAGTCCGGGGCTGGCAGGCGGGTGCGGAGTGCTACGCAGGCCAGCCAGGGAGGCGAGAGGGGGCCGAGGGGGAACGTCTCCTTTGTGGGACCAGGGATGTCGTCTCTGCAGGCTGGGGCTGGTGGAGGGAGCGACCTGCTCTGCACTGGGCTGGGAGCTGCACCCTCCTCCTGCCTCAGGCAGCGGGGTCTGCCCGGGGCAAGTGCAGGGGGCTCTTGTGGCCTGGACCCTAAATGCTGGAGGCTGCAAGTGGAAGAGGAGCAGGGGGAGTCAGACCCAGCTCTCTCTCCCCACCAGCCTCCGCTCTCTGCTGCCCTGTGACACAAGAGCCTGGGCAAGACAGACCCAGCCCCTGGCAGCTTTTACAGGCTTGCAAGTCTCTGGGCTCCGGCAGCAGCAACCGGGGAGAAGGCTCAGCTCAGGGACCAGCATGGCCCAGGCTGGCACGAGCGAGCCCTGTGCAGCGATGAGGAGCTTGTCCTCTTTCCAGCAGAGCTGGGAGCAGGAGCCGGAGCTGGACAAGCGGTGGCTGTGCCAGGCTGGGTGGCGCCATGCCACGGTGCACAGCTGCCATCTGCTGGCCCCGTGGACGATTGCGGCAGCCACGGCCCGGCTGGGTCTGGGCAATGAGGAACCCGCCGACCCCCCGCGACGCCTCCCTAACCAGGCCGGGAGATGCCAAGGGCTTTAGGGCAGCCTTGGCTACCGCGGCGGGCACCAGGGAGCTGCTCTGCCCTGCCAGATGTGACCCCGTGCAGCTCTGGAGGGAGGAAACGGACCCCATGTCCCCTCCCTGGGCTGGGCAGGGGCAGGTTTCTGGGGCTTTGGTGCCCTGAGTTGGAAGAGGCTCCAGGGGACCCTCCCTACCTGATGTATCCAGCAAGAGCCAGCTCAGGCCGTCTGCTTGCGGGGCGATGGGTTGTGAGCCGCAAACAGTGGTGCCATTTGCATTGCCCAAGAGGAAGCTCATGCCCGGCGAGGGGGGCCGGGCTGCCCCGGGGTTGCGGCTGTGCGAGTCAGTGCAGCTGCAGGGCTGTCATCAGGGAGACCCCGCTCCTGGGCAGGGAGGCAGTGTGGTGCAGTGGGTAGAGCTGGGATGCGGGGCTCTGGGAGCCCCCAGCCATGCTTCCCACCTTGGCACTGGGTGGCACTGATGGGCAGCCACTGCCAGCCCCCCATGCCCGGCCTGGCTCTGGGGGAGGCAACACCTGCATTAGTGCTCCCACACCTAGGCCTGCCCTGCCAGGGGTGGGAAGGCAACGGTCTCGCAGCCTTGGCCCGACCCACAGCCAAACCCGAACCACGGGTTTCCTTTTCCGTGGAGGAGGAAACCTACCTCCACACCTCTGAGGGGCCGGGGAAACAAAGGGGAAGTTTCTATCTTGATGCACTGACGTCGCATGGGCATACCAGCACTGGAGACCGCTGCGAGCAGCTCCAGGCCGGCTGCAGCATCTGGCACTGCCTGAGGGGAAGCTCCTGGCATTGGCCTGGCCCCTTCCCTGACTCCGCACCAAAGCCCCCCCCCCCACTTCTCATTTGCGCCATGGGGAAGGGTTTGGGGGCCCTAATGCTGGGACCCAGTGTGAGAGATAGGTGGGTTGAATTGCTGGGCAGGGTGGCAAAGAGTCTCAAAGGTGCTGGACCCCCTGAAACTGCCCCGCACCTGCTCCCTGCGCAGGGCCCAGACTGGAAATATGGGCCCTGGGTCCAGAGTGTTGTGGCCCCTGGGCCCGAGCTCAGCATGCAACCCTGGTAAGCACCCCCTGCCCATGGGACCTCCCCCTCACCCTGGTCCTGGCTGCCATCCTGCAGCTGACGGGGTCCTGCTGGGCCCTCCCGGCCGGGCCAGGCAGGGGGAAGGGGTCCCAGTTATTTCTCCAAGCTTGTGATATGCCAATGCAGCTGAGCAAGCAACCAAGACACCATTGCCGGGGCAGGGTGTGCGGCACGCCCAGGCTCACGCCTTCCTGGCTGGTCCCGGCTCTGCCCCGGTGCTGTCTGTCAAGCGAGGGCCGTGGCTGCAGCCGGGCGTGCAGAGCTGTGCCCTCTTCCAGCCATTCGGGGCTCGCTCGGGACAAGGGAATCGTGAGCATTTCTTGTGGCAGGGGCCGGGTGAGGTTTGGGAGAGGGGCCCTGTGCATTGGGTAGCCCCACTGGAGACCCAGCACAGTGGAGAGGGAGTGGAGGTGAAGGGGTCTCTGTGCCCCCCTCCTCACCGACAGGAGTTGACTCCCACTGGGAGAGGCTGGGAACAAGCACAGCCCCACCAGTGCGAGGCTGGCAGCTTGTCTAACTCTCCCTGTGCACCCCCGATGCCAGGCAGGGACTCCTTAGCAGGTACCATGGCACAGTAGGAAAGTCAGGAGGGACAGGACTGGGGTGGGATCTAGTCCCAGCCCTGCTCAGGCACTCAAGCACATCTTGCCTATCTGGGCAGGCTGCATCCTAACCCAGAAGCACCTGTGGGCAGGCTGCTTAGCTGGCCTAATTAACCCACCCTGTGCTAAATAGCCCACACCTGGGGGGACATGGTGCTGCTGCTTTGCTGGGAGCACTGCGAGGACCAAGGCTGGGCCTGGCGAGTCCCCTTGCGGCCATCAGGCCTGTCCCGGTGCGGCGTGGCGCGGCGCCTGGTTGCGGTTGGAGCCGCCTGCACGGTGCTCCAGCTGGCACAGCCGCAGGGGAACTGCCCGGACGTGGCGCTTGCTGCGGGGCAACTGCTGCCTGCCTCTGGGGAGCTGGCTCAGCCTGGGGCTTGCTAAATGCTAGGCTTGAAAAGTGCCCGCGGGGAGGTTGGGGGGACCCGGTCTGAAGCTGTGTGAGGCAAGACGCCGGACCTCAGAGTCCCGGCCAGGGAGTGGGAAGGTGCCCCGCTCTCCTCTGCCCTGGCCTGCTCTGTGAGTTGCCCAGGCTTGCAGGGCTCTGTGGTTTTTATGCAGGCCCCTCTCTTCCCCCAGCACTGCGACAGGGCTCAGCCCAGGCTCCCCGCAGAGGGGTCCTCACTAGGCTCCCCAGGCGCTGCCAAAGCCTCAGCTACGCCCTCCCCACCGTGCTGCCTACGCCTCCGGCTCACTTCCTCAGAAACACCCCTGCGTCTTCACCGCCCTTCCTGCTGCTTCTGCAGCATCTGGCCTCTGGGAAACTTCTGCAGACCCCAGCGGAGAGACCGCGCTGGGGTAATGCCTCTCCACTTTCCCCTTCCCTTCGCGTCTCTTGGGGCATCCCTGCCTCACCTGCCCCATCAGCAGCTTCTAGCTGGGGTGACTCCTCACCCCGGCTGGTGCCTCATCTGCTCGTGACCCCAGTAACCGCCTCTCCCCAGCTCCCGCCTGCCGCCCACCGCCTCCGGGCAGCATCCCCGCAGAGCTGGTCCCTGCGTCTGCAGGAGAAGGGCACGCCAGGCCTGGCCCAGGAGAGATCAGGATGGCTCCCCACCCTGTCCCCGGGTGCCAGCTGGACCGTGCAGTCGTGCCTTGCTGATCAGCAGGGGGAACTGCTGGGGCATTTCCTCTTTTCTCCTCCCCAGGGACAGCACGCTGGCTGACGCCACTAAGAGTGGCCTCCTTCTCCGCCTACCTGTGCCGCCCCAGTGCTGGGAAGACTGCCAGCCGGGCATTCGGCGCAGCTGGCCGAGAACACGGCCTTGGGGAGGTTTAAGTTGCACCAGGTCTGTCTCGGGGTGTCTGCCTCCGGTTCACCCAGGCCCAGGGAGGGGAAGAGCTGTGGGAAAGTGGAGACGGCACTGGCAAGAGGAAAGGAGGATTTTTCTGTCTTATGTTAAACCACGGTGCCCCGGGCTCCAAGTCGGGCAGGAGCCCTGCCAGCTTTCCTGGGGGGAGCTAAGACCCAGGCCATGGCCTAGCTGCCCAAAGGAGAAGGAGCTGACCCACAGCCCCAGGCCCTCGGACCATCCCACGCACTCGCTGAGCACTCTTCATCGGAGGAGCCGGCTGCAGCGTCCCAAGGTGAGCGATGCTGTGATAACCTCGGGCCGCAGAGCAGGAGGGCATCGGATCAGAGGTCACTGAGGAGCTTAGGAACTGGAGCCCTTAGTGTGCGTGTGCACACATGCCTTGGGGAGGCAAGGGCCAGGGTCACGCGCATGTGCATGCATGCATTGAAGGGGCCAAGGACCAGGGTCACACGTGTGTGTGCGTGTCTGCCTTCAGGGGCAGGGTTCCTAGCTCTGGCTATTCCACCGATGGCTTTAGGATGAGCCAGGCTGGCTTGTTGCACTCTCTCAGCTGATTTGAAGCCCTTTTTGAGACCTCAGGACTTTGCTGGTGGTTTAACAGGTCAACAGGCAGCCCTTTCCCTCCTGTTGCAGTCTGCACACATGTATATGTGCATCTGCACATGCATGCATTCATGCATGACATGTCTTCTGGAGAGAATTGCAATTGCTTGTCTGTGGGTCATATCGCCAAGAGCTTGCTGTGTGTGGTGGCTCCTCTGAGGCTGAAGGAGAAGGGCTTTGTGATTGTTGGAGCAGCTGAGTGGTGTCCCCCGTCCCCCCCTGGGGCAGTGCAGCCCCCCTAGCCACGAGGACTGCCGACTAGGTGGTTGCAGATGAGATGCAGAGCGCAGTAAAAGTAACGATGGAGGTTGCAGCGGCTCCAGCATCCTGCAGAGACAGGAATCTGTGTCCTTCTCTCTTTAGGGAGCTCCCCACTTGCCTCCCTTTCTGGTTGTCTTTGCCCCTTCCTAACAGCGTGGTTCTCCTTCCTTTCAGTGGCCAGGTTCACAGGGAGGTGGGTGGGGTGCCAGGCCCCACAGCGCACTATAGCGTGTCTAAGGGGAACCAGTGCCTGACCACGTTTGTCGCCCACGCTTGGCTGCAGATGGACAAGAGGAGTCTGGAGGTGGGTGGTTACAGGGCTTGTTACACACATTCATAGCAGGGACACCTGCGTTGTGTGTGCTTGGTCCACAACCAGGAGGGTGGGTAACAGGTGCTGGCAGGGCAAGATCCTGGGGTTGGATGACACGTGTGCATGTTAAACACCCTCCACTCAGGCTGCCAAGTCACGCAGTCCAATGTCAGGAAATGCCGGACCTCGGGTTGCCTGTGCCCCTCTTGCACACGCGTGATGACACAGCCTTAATTACATGCTACTGCGTTTGAGCCCCTGCCCAGAACGCCCTGTGCCTGCTCCATGTGAAGCTGTCCCACGTTTGCTTGGCCTTCACTGTTCAACCTGTGGTCTGGACTTCTTTTCTTATTGGCTTTTCTGTGGTGCTAATGGCAGCCGAGAGCCTCACGAGCAGGCAGTAGTGATTGGCACGAGGGCACGGAGAGGGGGGATTCTCCCCATTTCACACGTGAGGAACTGAGGCATGAAAACAAAGGTCAAAAGTTTGCACTGCTTTTGGTGCCTGGTTTGGGATCGCTCGGAGCCTTGGCACACTTCGGTGCTTGGCATACCCCTTTTCTGTTGGCATCGGCTGCAGCTGAGACCCCCCCCCAGCATTTCTCCCAGCCTGACTCCAGGCCTCTGGAGACCGCAGGCCACACCACTGGTGATGACCCTTGAGGAGTGTAACCTGAGGGGCAGATTTTTACCCTCCAGTGGGAGTTGGGTGCCTAAATCCCTTTAAAAATCCAGGCCTAAGTGACTTGCTCAGCCAGACAGGAGCTCTGGGACAGGCAGGCCTAGTTCTCCAGCCTGTCATCCCCTCCTGTCTTGCCACCTGGCTCTCCTACCCCTTGGCTAACTGCCTCGGTCACCTGGAAGCTGCCACTTGGGTCTGGAAATGTTGCCCCTCTGATCCTCCTGCCCGGTTTGTCCATGGGATGGGCTGGCTCTGTCCCCCGGGGCCTTAAACATGAGACCATCCTGCAAGGCCCTGCCTCGGTCACCCTACACCTCCCTGCTCCCCCACAGGGAAGTGGGTGCCTGCAAAGAACAGCCTCCTTCACATCTGGGCATTGATCCATCCCCAGCTCTGTCCTGCCTGTGCCCCAGAGGAGAAAGCAGCTTCCCTGGAGTATCTGGGCATGGCGATTTTTTTTTTTTTTCCAGGTTGGCCACGTTTGGGTGGGTTTTCACCACGGAGGTGAAAGGCATGTGTTGCACAGCTGCTTCCTGCCCACCTCGATGCAGGACAGCTCTGGAGCCAGTGAGCGGAAAGATAGCTGGAGGTGCTTTGAATTTGGATGAACGATATGTTTTTTTTTCTCTAGTCTCGTTCTTGAGCCATTTGGGCTGAAATTAAGCAAAGCCAGATGGGGCAGACCTCTGCGCAATCTGCAAGTGCCTGTCAAAGCAACCAGAGAATGAAAGGAGAAGAATGGAAAGAGGTGGCGCTACCTCTCTAGAGTAACCCAGAGAGATGGAGAGCAAGGCAGGCTCATGGGAGGAGAGAGAGATGCCTGGGCTGGGAGCTGGGGCTCTTGGACCCGTGGAGCTGGCTGCATGTAACGTGTGCTGGGGCCTGGCTGCCGCCAGAGCCAGTTCCCATAACTCAGAAAGAACTTGTGGTCATTGTAAAGTAGTTCCTGAATTGTAGCATGGGGGAGCTGGCCTCTGCAAATGGCCACAAGGCTGGGGTTTTTCGAAGCATTTCCGATGAAAGCTTCTGCTTTCTGCTACCTGGAAGCACGGTTATCTCTCCACGCAAATAGCTCATTCAGATCAGGGCAATGGTCTACCCCCGCTTTTCCTTGGTGTCAGCGGCAATGCCAGGGAGTGGGGAAGGAGGGCCAAGCCCAGGGTGCTGGACCTCCCAAAACAAGCACATGTTGCCTGGTACTTCACTGAGTCCAATCCCTGCACGAAGAAGCCAACCTGCTTTGTGAGGCTCACCAGGGTGGGGACGTGCTCATTTTGTTGCCCTGGGCTGTGTTTGCTTCTGCGTGACATGAGGAGTCCCCAGCCCTGCCATGCAAATAGGGAAATCCAGTAACAAAGGAGCCCATTCCTGATGCAGCTGCTTCCAGGAGCCCATTTCCACCCCACCAGGGCTTGGCCCCTTTGAGAGAGACAAGCTCCTGCACCTAAGTCCCTTCCTCTCTGGGATGCTGTTTGGTGGGGTGGGGCAGGTGGCTCTTCTTGGGGCAACACATTTGCGTGCACAGTTGAGTGACTAGTTTGCTTTAGCTGAGCTGGTGAGGCAACCTTTGAAAGGCTTTTGTGGAGCTCTCGTTAGCCCAGCGAGGTGAACGCAAGGCATTTTGGTTTGGATAAGGATTGCCCTGTCTCAGGCAGGGGTTAGACTAGACTAGACCTCTGGAGGTCCCTTCCAGCCCCACGTCTCTATCATTGTATGGTTGCATCTGTGGGTGCAGGTTTGCTCCATTTACAGAGTGTCGGGGGTGTTGGTTGTAAGGGCATAGGCAGACAAGGTTCCTTGGGTAAATGTGATGCCTTTTATTAGACCAACTGTTTAGTTGGAACAATTGTTCTTTGCAAGCTTTCAGGCACAAACACCCGAAAGCTTGCAAAAAACAATTTTTCCAACTACTTAGTTGGTTTAATAAAAGCTATTGCTTTTACCTAAGGAACCTTGTCTGCCTCCAGTCACAGAGACCCTAGAAGCTTTACTGACCTGCTAGGGCCCTTGTGCTGCATCAGTCCACTGAAGATCAAAGTAAAAAACAATGCAACTTCTTTGGAAGGTGCACTTATTTCTTAGGTTATAGAGCAAATTTAAAAGAAAAACACAAACCAGGCAAAAATAAATAATCCAGTTTCATCAGTCCTGCAGTCATCCTGGTTAAATGCACCTCTCTTATTCAGAGCCATCAAACACAATCTAGGCTTCTTGAGTATCTTGATAGGGCCTGCAGTACTTCAGTGTCGGTCATTTCTACACCTGAGTTAAGGGTTTGAGCCCTGAAAACAGTCTGCAAGGCTGTGAAACAGAAACGCAAGGAAGGGGCAACAGGCAGCACCTTTGAAGGAGGACAGATCATTTGAATGGTGGGACATCAAGACCATGAAAAAGGAGAGAGGGTCCTTTAAAAGCTGGGACATTAGCAGGAATGGGGTAGATTATGACAAACCATAAAGTCAGTTGACTTCCTCAGCTGTGGGGGCTGTGTCCCTGCCCACCCGCCCCCCTTGGACCTCTGAGCCTCAGTGAAGCTTCTCATGATCCATCTCCTGTGCCCCCAGCCCTGGGCAGCGCAGAGGAAGGGCCACTAGATCCCAGCATGCAGGGATCATCTTTTCCACCCTCTCTGAACCAGCTCTGGAAGCTGGTCTGCAAGGGTTTTGTTCCCCCCCAGCGTCCTCGGCCTGTACAGCCCCCAGAGCCACTCCCCAGTCTCAGGTCCAAGTCATCCTGCCTGCGCCCACATGCCACTGGCAGTTGCAACCATGACGAGTGCCCCGAAGGCTGAACCTGGGCCTGAGCTCCCACAGTCTGAGAAAGACCCTTGTTGCTTCATTGCTGTGAGGGTTTTGCTATTGCTAAAGACCTGGGGACAGTTGCAGTACAGCTGGCATAACTGCTGATTTCAGCCCTTAGTGCCTGACCTCAGCAATAAATTTGTCCCCCCCCCCCCCC